GTTTAGGGTTTGGGGTTTAGGGTTTGGGGTTTGGGGTTTGGGGCCATGGTACCCAGTTGCCACTATACAATACCACTATAAGGTAATATGAACCCTAGCATTTGGGGTCATTATTCCCTGTACTACTATAATTTCCATTAAGGTACTACGGTTCATATACCTTAAAATAATAGTAGATATACCCAGCCACTACTAGAAGTACCATTAGAAGGCTAATACCTTATAATAGTTTTTTGTAGTAGTTTAGGGTAGATGACCCCCCCAATTTTCGGGTTCATGTCGTCCCCCAAAGGCATGTGGAGAGCCTCCACGCCGCCCCCGGGGCCTTTGCCGCGGTGTTGGCCGACGGGTCCCTGGTTTCCTGGGGCGGCCCCTGGGCGGACCCTGCGCCCGTGCAGCACCTCCTCAAGAACGTGCACCTGGGACTCCACTTCACCCTAGAGTTGAGTAGTAACACGACCCCGAAACCCTAAAAACCACAATAAACCTTATAAACCCTATTAAACCCTGTTAAACCCTAAGCCCTAAACCCTTAACCCTAAACCCTAAATCTATTGAGCATGACCCCATGAAAACTGTAGGGAAACAGAGCGTCCCAAGGAAGACCGTGCGCTCCACCTGCGGCGCCCTGGCCGCGATCTTGAATGACGGCTCCGTCGTGGCCTGGGGAAATCTTTGTCATAGTTGGGAAACATTTTATATTTTTAAGGGTACTTAAACCCAATGAGGAAAACACATTTGAAATTTTAAGGGTACTTAAACCCAGTCAGGAATACAAATTTGAAATTCTAATGCTATCCCAACCATGAATCAGGAAATCCTGCCGAGGGCGGCCAGGCGCCGGACCTCTCGGAACTGGGGGAGATGCTTGGGGGACCACATGGAACTGCAACATTTGGGGGCATATGCCCCCTTAAGTGCTTGGAACTCCCATTAAGGGAATAAGAGCCCTACATAGACCCTTTTCGGGTTTAGGGTTTAGGGTTTAGGGTTTAGGGTTTAGGGTTTAGGGTTTCATGTCGTCCCCAAGGATGAGGCAGCTTTGTGGCTCCATCTCCGCCTTCGCAGCCCTGGGTGCCGAGGGGTCGGTGGCGACTTGGGGCGACTTCCCGAGTAACTGCACCAGGCCGCTCCGGAACGTTCGGGAGCCTTGGGTTTAGGGTTTAGGGTTTGGGGTTTAGGGCTTAGGGCTTAGGGTTTAGGGTTTAGGGTTTAGGGGGTCCCTAAAGGAACCCTAAAATTGGCGTCGTTTTTCCCTATACTGCTTTAGTTGCGATGATAAGGTTGTATGAACCATAGTACCTTATTTGTAATTGGAGTAGTATAGGGTATATTAAGGTAGTATGAACCCTAAACCCCTTTTCGGATTCTTTTGGTCCTCCAAGGAGGTTCAGGCCACGGAGAGCGCCTTCGCGGCCTTGCTAGCTGACGGTTCCGTGGCGGCTTGGGGCCATCCCCTGTTTGGAGCGGACACCTCGAACCTTGGGGGACGACATGAGCCCCTTAAAAGATCTTAGAAGGTTGATATTACCTGAATGGGATTATTGTAGTACAGGGTATGACCTCGGGGACGACATGAACCCCTTTTAAGGGCTTATGGCCCATGTGACCCTCAGAGGGATTCGAGTAGTAGAGGGTATATATCCCCTTTCATATACCTGAATAGGAATGATATAGTGGTATAGGGTACATGGCCCCAACTTTTTTTTTTGGTCTTCATTGGGTCTCCAAGGAACCTGGGCCCGATACGGGCGAGGCGCCTCTACGCCTCGGATGGCGCCTTTGCCGCGCTGCAGGAGGATGGCTCGGTGGTGGCTTGGGGGGATGAGAGCTTGGGCGGGGACTGTCTGCCGGTGCCTTGGGTTCATTTCAAAGAGGGTGTTTAGGGTTCATGTGACCCTAATAGGAATTAGAGTAGTATAGGGATATGACCCCAATTTTAGGGTTCATATTACCCGAATAGGAATCATAGTAGTATAGAGTACATGACCCCAATTTTAGGGTTCGTTTGATCCTAAACCCTAAGCCCTAAGCCCTAAGCCCTAAGCCCTAAGCCCTAAACCCTAAACCCTATAAACCCTAAACCCTAAAGTCCCCAAGGTGCAAGGGGAGCTCCGCGACGTGCAGAGCATCGCAGCCACAGCCGGGGCCTTCGCAGCGGTGAGGGCCGATCCTTGGGGCCGAAATGAACCCTTTTGAAGGGTTTAGGGTTTAAACCCTAAACCCTAAACCCTAAACCCTAAACCCTAAACCCTAAACCCTAAACCCTAAACCCTAAACCCTAAACCCTAAACCCTAAACCCCAAAAAGGTTGATAAGGTTCATATGACCTTACTAGGGACTATAGTATAGGGTAAGTCATATTACCTTCTAGGGACTATAGTAGTATAGGGTGAGTTCATATTGCCTTACTAGGGACTCTAGTAGTATTGGGTAAGGTTCATATGACCTTACTAGGGACTATAGTAGTATAGGGTGTGTTCATAGTACCTTACTAAGGACTATAGTAGTATAGGGTAAGTTCATATTGCCTTACTAGGGACTATAGTAGTATAGAGTAAGCTCATATTGCCTTACTTGGGACTACTATAGTAGTATAGGGTGAGTTCATATTGCCTTACTAGGGACTATAGTAGTATAGGGTGAGTTCATAATACTTTACTAGGGACTATAGTAGTATAGGGTAAGTTCATATTACCTTACTAGGGACTATAGTAGTATAGAGTAAGCTCATATTGCCTTACTAGGGACTATAGTAGTATAGAGTAAGCTCATATTGCCTGACTTGGGACTATAGTAGTATAGGGTGAGTTCATAATACCTTACTAGGAACTATAGTAGTATAGGGTAAGTTCATATTCCCTTACTAGGGACTATAGTAGTATAGGGTAAGCTCATATTGCCTTGCTTGGGACTATAGTAGTATAGGGTGAGTTCATATTGCCTTACTAGTTTGGGGTGACCCCCATTTTGGGGTTCATCTGGTCCCCAAGGATGGGTCTGTGGTGTCTTGGGGCTGCCGCGAGAGCGGCGGGGACAGCTCGGCAGTGGAAGGGCAGCTCAGGGACGTCGTGCAGGTTAGGGTTTAGGGTTTAGGGTTTAGGGTTTAGGGTTTAGGGTTTAGGGTTTAGGGTTTAGGGTTTAGGGTTTAGGGTTTAGGGTTTAGGGTTTAGGGATTTAGGGCTTAGGAGTCAGAAGGCTATACACCCCAAACTCCGCTAAAGTCCCTAAAGCCCACACCCTAAGCCTGACGAAGCTTCCGGATTCTTATCAGAAGTTTGCGATGTGTTTTTGGGGGTTGCGGTTTTACGAGATTTTGACTGGAGGTGCATGCCTCGGCCAGGGCATTCGCCGCCCTGCGCGAGGATGGCACGGTTGTCACCTGGGGCAACCCCGATTCGGGTGGCGGCAGCGCGGTGACAGGCAGGTTGGGGTGCCTATGTAGGGCTTTTCGACGCGTGTAGGATGCTTTGTTTATGGAGGTTGGGGCCCTCGCGTCTGTGGTTCTGACTAGTCCTGTCCAGACTTTTCGAGACTTTCCATCCACATTAGAAGACGAGGGAGTCCCTGAAGCGTTGCACGAAGTCCCCAAACGTTCCTGGTACTTCTTAACCAATTACAACTGGACTTCTCACCCACTTATGGGCCCCTTAAGTGCCCTAATATGGTTATAAGTACAGTGACAAGTACAGCGCCCTGAACCTCCAAGTACCCTTCTCAGGCCAGCTGTGCGAGGTGCAGCAGCTCGGGGCGTCGGCGAATGCCTTCACCGCCCTCTTGGCAGATGGCTCGCTGGTTGCCTGGGGAGAACCTGAGGAGGTGGCGACGGCACCGGTTTCCTGGAAAAAGATGGTTTAGGCTCTAGGGTTTTTAGGGTTTAGGGCGTAGGGTTCTAGGGTTTAGGGTTTAAGGCTTAGGGTTTAGGGTTTAGGGTGACTATCGGTGGTGGGCGTTTGGAGTTTGGGGAATGCGCCTGAGCCCGTCCCCTTAATGGAAGAATACCTAGTGGCTTGCGGAGTATGGAGCTGCAGTTAAACCCTAAGCAAGCCCTACCTCTACGTAAGCCCAAAACCCTAAAACAAGGCCCAAGCCCAACCCTCTGGACCCCTCTAGCGCGCCTCCCTGAACCGAATGGTTCACCCTGTGTGGGGAAAATGAAAGCCAGGTTTAGGGGTTAGGGCAGATTCGGGTTGGAGGAGGGCATGATAGGGAGAGCCTAAACCCTAACCCCTAAACCCTGAATCCTAAACTCCACACCCCAAACCCTAAACCAACCCGAAACCCTAAACACAAGGCGTCGCAGGTCCCTGTCCTGAGGCACTCTAGGCGCAGAGAAAGGGTTGTCGAGGGCTTATAGGGTTGATAGTTTAGGGTTTAGGGTAGGTTTAGGGTTTAGGGTTTAGGGTTTAGGGTTTAGGGTTTAGGGTAGGTTTAGGGTTAAGGGACTCGAAACCCTAAATCCTGCAAGCCCTCAGCCCCTAACTAAAGCCATCGCGGCCGGTAGCACTCCACCACAGGCCAGTACATGTCGGTCTGGGTTTACGTTCAGCACCCAACCTTCAGAAACAGACTAACTGACTTAGCCAATAGTAGAACTTTGAACTTGTTGGGGCTCCTTTTTAGTAGGAAGAATGAAGTTCGACCTTTTTTTGGAGAAGTAAGCCTAGTAATTGGAGATATCTTCTTTGCAGCCCAGAAAAAAGCCCAGCAGGATGTGCACCTTTTCATCTTTTCGGTGGCTAGGGAACGGTGGACACCAGGGTTTAGGGTTTAGGGTTTAGGGTTTAGGGTTGAGGGTTTAGGGTTTAGGGTTTAGGGGGCCGTTTTCGGGCTTTGTGGGTGCGGCAATCGAAGCATACGGCTTCTTTTCCAAACCCTAAACCCTAAACCCTTAACCCTAAACCCTAAACCCTATACCCTAAACCCTAAACCCTAAACCCTAAACCCCAAACCCCAAACCCTAAACCCTAACTTACAACAAAATTGCCACCAGCCGGGAGGAGCGACGGCTGAGCAACAACCCCTGCACGCTCTACCGGAACCGGACGGCCGGTGCCATCGAGAGGGTGGTGATCGTGGGAGGCAGCGTTAGGGTTTAGGGTTTAGGTTTAGGGTTTAGGTTTAGGGTTTAGGGTTAGGGTTTAGGGTTTAGGGTTTCGGGTTTAGGATTTTTGGGGTTGGGGTTTAGGGTTTAGGGCATGTTCCCAAAGAAGCCCCTATCTTGGAAGCTCTTTTGACTTAGTACGTTTGCTCAGTGTCCCCTAGAAACCCTCTTAGAATTCCCATAACCCACCCTTCCTAACCCCACTAAGTCAAACGGGCTTCCAAGTACACCCCTTAAGGAACATGCCTTAAACCACATGGGCAGATCCTACTATAGGGCTCTGGGGGTTTAGGGTTCATGGGATTACGGGTGTATGTGTTGAGGTTTATAGGGTTTACGGGTTTGTGGGTTTGGGATTTAGGGTTTAGGATCCCTAAGCGCTCAACCCCAAAACCCTAAGCCCTAAACCCTAAACCCTAAACCCTAAACCCTAAACCCTAAACCCTAAACCCTGAACCAAACTCTATAGGGTTTATGTAGAATTCAGGGTTTAGGGTTGCAGGGTTTATGTACTGTTTCTTTAGGGTTTTTAAGGGTTTAGGCCTTGGGGCTCATAGGGGTTTAGGGTTAGGGCTTATCGTCCCTTACCCTCTTAAAGGGTTCTGATGTATGGCCTTGGGTTGCATAGGGTATACAGGGGGCATATATGCGCCCGCGTTCCGCGTATCGACCCCCCCCCCCCCCAATGGTATCCCCCCGCCTTTTTCCATGGCATCCCCCCCCAACCCTCCCTGTTAACCCCAAAAACACCACCACGGACCACGGGGGAGGACAGAGAAACCTCAGCCTAGACCTCACACCCTGAACCCCAAGCCCTAAAACCTAAACCCACCAATGAACGACAGGAGGGAGAGGGGTAAACCCGAAGCCTTAGCCGCTTTAACCCTGAACCCTGAACCGTAAACTCAGCACGAACCACAGGGGGCAGAGGGGAAAGGGTAAACCTACCATTAATTACCCCAAACCTTGAACCCTGATTAAACTCTAGACCCGAATGGAAAATCCTGAACGCTACAGCCTCACCCTAAACCCCTTAACCACAAACCCATGAACCACAGGGGTGGGGGGGGGACCCAAAACCCACCATGAACCACAGGGAGGGGGGGGGGGGTGGTTACTATGGGGGGGGGAGGGGGGGGGGTGCGCCTATGCTGGCCCATATAAGGGGTCCCCGTTTAAGGACCCATACTAAGAGAACTAGAGAACCCTAAAAGCAACCGCAAGAAGAACCCCCAAGCCCCAAAGCCCTATCCCCAGCTCAATTTGGTAGCCCAGTGGTGCCCTTTGGCACTTCTTTTGGTTCAAGGTTCCCCTAAACCCTGAACCCTAAACCCGAAACCCGAAACCCGAAACCCTAAACCCTTAACCCCCCAAACGGGTACCCTGATTATTGTGCTGGGCTCCCAAGTCAACAGGTGGTCCGGCTGGCATGACGGCGGCTATCTACGCCGCACGGGCGGGGGGGCTGGGGGGGGACTTGGGTGGAAAAGGGGTAAACGGGGTGTAGTAGGGTCTAAACCCTAAACCCCAAACCCCAAACCCCAAACCCTAAACCCTAAACCCTAAACCCTAAACCCGAAGCCCTAAACCGTAAACCCTAAACCCTAAACCCTAAACCCTAAACCCTAAACCCTAAACCCTAAACCCTAAACCCTAAACCCTAAACCCTAAACCCTAAACCCTAAACCCTAAACCCTAAACCCTAAACCCCAAACCCGAAACCCTAAACCCTAAACCTAGGTGGGGTGGGGGTGGGGTTGGAAGGGTGGAGTCGGTTTAGTCAGGGGTGTAGTCTGGCACATTTGGGGCTTGGGCCTGAAGGTGTGGCGAGTTCCCGAAACCAGGGCCTCTTGAAGTGGCACCAAACTACAAGGGGTTTAGGGTTTAGGGTTTTGGGTTTAGGGTTTAGGGTTTAGGGTTGCTGTTGGGGCTTAGGGTGTAGTATCTCGGGAGGCCCTGACGACATTCTGTATTTTCCTTTTTCAGGAATATCTTTCGGAGGGTGTTCGGGGGGCAATCCTAGAAAGCCAATGGCTCCTGAACGGAGGTAAGCCCTAAAGCCCTAAAGCCCTAAAGCCCTGAAGCCCTGAAGCCCTAAAGCCCTAAAGCCCTAAAGCCCTAAAGCCCTAAAGCTCCAAATCCTATAAGCCCTGAAGCCCTAAAGCCCTAAAGCCCTAGAGCCCTAAAGCCCTAAAGCCCTAAAGCCCTAAAGCCCTAAAGCCCTGAAGCCCTGAAGCCCTGAAGCCCTAAAGCTCTAAATCCTATAAGCCCTGGAGAGCCACATGGTGCACAAAATTCTGTTTGACCAGTGATGTGATATGATACGCTTTTGCAAGCTCCGGGCGTTATTTTATTTTATTTTTTTATTTTTTTTTGCGAAATGCGCACTTTCAACAGCATCTCGGGCGGTTCTAGGACAAGTGAACGAGCACAAGTTAAGCGCAAGTCGGGTGCAATTATTTTCCGCACTTTCATGCAACTGGGCGCAAAGTCACAGAGTGTACCGACGCACTGTAAACGCGCGGAAGACTTCGTTACGCACATGTGTTGTGTATCAATTTGGTCCTGCAGGGCTGGCTCAACCCTACACTTGCTGGCTCTTTGTCGGGAATGAGGGAGGGATTATGTAGGGTACCCTTTTCTGCCCATTCCCTACTGGAGAACCAGGGGGCAAAAAGGAATTAGGGTTTAGGGCTACGGCCCGGGTTGCCACAAGCATCTGCAAGCTTGCATGCTTAGGATTTAGGTTGAGAAGTCCTGAGCCCGACGCCCTAAGCCTTACAAAGCCCTAAGCCCTTTTGGCCATGGGATTGCTACAGAGAACGAAACGAAGCACCAGAAAGCCTAAACCCAAAACCCGTCCTTTGACCAAGCGTAAGCGGCCCACGTCGCCCAACCCCCACCCCCTCCGAAATCGGCCCAGAATTTAGATCAACCCTGGGTGGCCAGTTCTTAGCTTGCTGGTGGATGGCGGGGCGTGACCGTTGCCACTAAAGGGGACCCTTGACTTCCTAGTAAGAAGCCTCGGCGCTTCCCAACTATCACGGCCTCACGCCGTGCTCTTTTTGTGCCGACATGCCCTGGTAACGATATGCGACCAGCTGCAGTGTGGGGACCGGTGCGTTCTCTTCAGAACTCCTCCTGCACTCTCTTCCCAAGACGACGGCCTGCACCTGGGAAGAGCTGTGCCCGACTTTATGCACACCAAGCACCTTGGCACCGATCAGCATTTCGCAGCAAGCGTCCTGGTCTTGCTGGTCTACGACATCATGTCCTCAGCTTACACCAGCATGGAATGTCGCGAGCTCATAAACCGAGATCCCCCAAACACCCTTAGCACCCTAAAGACCCTAAACGCCCCAAAGACCCCAAGCACCCTAAGCCCTAAGACCTAAGCCCTAAGCCCTAAGCCCTAAGCCTAAGCCCTAAGCCCTAAGCCCTAAGCCCTAAGCCCTAAGCCCTAAGCCCTAAGCCCTAAGCCCTAAGCCCTAGGCTAAGCCCTAAGCCCTAAGCCCTAAACCCTAAATTTAAGAGCCTCCGGCTCAAGCCGCCGACCCCGCTGGAGCATAGTTGAAAGGTTTAAACGCGCTCATCACCTCAAAGGATGCCAAAAGTTGATTGGGGGTGGGGGGGTTTTTCAAAGGACCTCTATGTGCTGTGCGAAACCGCCTATGCTCCGTGAGTTTATGCGGTGTGGGTGGCCTGGCCCTCCATGGAAAAGCTGCCCGGGTACCCCCCCCCTACCCCCTTCAAGGGGTAAGGAGGGAAAGAGGGAGGTTTTCACCTCCTTTTCCCATCCAACACGCCGCCAGGGTCGGCGGACCCTAAACCCTAAACCCTAAACCCTAAACCCTAAACCCTAAACCCTAAACCCTAAACCCTAAACCCTAAACCCTAAACCCTAAACCCTAAACCCTAAACCCTAAACCGTAAACCCTAGCAAGCCCTGAGCCCATCCGGCCCCAGTCCAACCTGTGCCCGCTGGTCATCGCGCCCGCCATTGGTGGCCAGCTCATGGCCAAGGGCGCCTGGCCCCCGGCGCTGGCTTTGGGTTTAGGGTTTAGGGTTTAGGGTTTAGGGTTTAGGGTTTAGGGTTTAGGGCTTAGGGCTTAGGGCTTAGGGCTTAGGGCTTAGGGCTTAGGGCTTAGGGCTTCGGGCTTCGGGCTTCGGGCTTAGGGCTTAGGGTTCAGAGTTTTGGGTTTAGGGCTTAGGGTTTAGGGTGTAGGGTTCAGGGTGGGTTGAGGGTTTGCGCTTTAGGGTTTGAGGTTTAGGGTTTAGGGTTTTCGGTTTTCGATTTGGGGGTTGCGGCTTAGATTAGTGGTGTAGTGGGTTAGGGTTTAGGGTTTAGATGTAGTGGGTTCGGGTTGAGGCCATGGGCTTAATGAGGGTCTTGGGCCCAGGCCTTGGACTAGGTGCCAATTCGGCATAGAAATTCACCCTCTAACGTTTCGAAGTTCACCCGCGAGAGCTTAAGTCCAGTACTCACCCTAAACCCTAAACCCTAGCCCCTAACTACGCCAGCAAACCAAGCCCTTCAAGTCCTCAAGCCTTTGAAAGAAACCTGAAACCCTCAACGCCAAGCCCAACTAGCACCATATGCACCCAAGGCCCAAGCAGTAAAAGAAATCCGACGCCCTCAGCGCTTCAACACGAGACAGCCACCACATTCAGGTGAATCTTGCCCTAACCTCCAACCCTAACCCCTAAACCCAAACCTTAAACCCTGAACCATAATCAAGCAGAACAGACAGCGTAAACACCCAAACCAGCGGATCAGGCGTAGCAGTTCAACCCAACCACCCTCCACATGTCCCAAGTTTGAATGGTAACCTAAAAAGGGTTTAGGGTTTAGGGTTTAGCGTCCAAGCCTTTTGGAGAAACCCTTCAGGGGTTAGGACTTGGCCCTTTTCAACCTCTGCAGGTAGATGTGGAGAACTACCCGGGTCTACCGCGCGAAAACGGCGGCGAAATGCCGCGCTCTAAGGTCGTGGCGGTTCTCTTTAGTTTAGGGTTCAGGGTTCAGGGTTCAGGGAGTTCAGGGTTCAGGGTTTAGGGTTTAGGGTTTAGGATTTAGGGTTTAGGGTTTTCTCTCTCCCTCCGCCACATGGCCCTGAATCCTACATACTACTGGTCCTTCTTCCCCTTTGCTTAGGGGTTCCTTATTTGGAAACCCAATCCGACAAGCATGGGCACCCGGATGATTGCTATCTCCTCTTCTAAGCCCCAAATCCATTAGACCCTTCTCCCTACAAACCTCAGGGTTAGGGTTTAGGGTTTAGACCCTGAACCCCTCCACCCTTTGCGCCCTGTGAAACATCTCAAACCACCCGCGGCCCCCTACCCAATAAACCCTCATCGGGGGACTAGGTGCCCGAAATGGAAGGGATTCTCCCTGTTACCGAGCTCCTGCCGCACCCGCCCTCACCCTAGCCCTTCAAACCCCAAACCCCAAACCCCAAACCCCAAACCCCAAACCCCAAACCCCAAACCCCAAACCCCAAACCCCAAACCCCAAACCCCAAACCCCAAACCCCAAACCCCAAACCCCAAACCCCAAACCCCAAACTCTAGTGGTTGGCCGCGCGTGTTTCTACAGATATCGGGTTTCTAAATCGGAAGAATCGCTTCAGCTATGAACCGTTTGTGAAGACCCAAGACCCCAGGTACCAAATTTCGCGTTTTTTTATCTGGAAGAAACCGCTTCAGCTATGTATCATTTGTGAAGACCAAAATATAGAGGGGCTCAAGGATGGAAGCGCACGTTTCTACTGTTTCGCGCTTCTAAACTGGAAAACCACTTTAGCTATGGATCGTTTGTGACAAACCATAAGACAAACCCCAAACCCCATACCCAAAACCCCATACCCAAAACCCCAAGCCCCAAACCCTAAACCCCATAAACCCCATAAACCCCATAAACCCCATAAACCCCATAAACCCCATAAACCCCATAAACCCCATAAACCCCATAAACCCCATAAACCCCATAAACCCCATAAACCCCATAAACCCCAGAAACCCCAGAAACCCCATAAACCCCATAAACCCCATAAACCCCATAAACCCCATAAACCCCATAAACCCCATAAACCCCAGAAACCCCAGAAACCCTAACCTCATATTCAGGATCCAGGTGATGAAGCATCAGGCCCGGAGCTTCTACGCGGAGGCACGGTGAGGGTTTAGGGTTTAGGGTTTAGGGTTTAGGGTTTAGGGTTTCGGGTTTAGGGTTTAGGGTTTAGGGTAGTCCCTTTCCCCCACCCCCCCCCGGATCCTCAGTCTGGCGGGTTAGGAGTGCAGGGTACAGAGTTTAGTTTTGTTTTGTCCATCTTTTGGTGGCATCTCCGGGTGAAAGTACGTACCCAAAACCCAAAACCCAAAACCCTAAACCCTAAACCCTAAACCCTAAGCCCTAAGCCCTAAGCCCGTAACCCTATACCCTAAGCCCTAAGCCCTAAGCCCTAAGCCCTAAGCCCTAAACCCTAAACCCTAAACCCTAAACCCTAAACCCTAAACCCTAAACACTAAACCCTAAACCCTAAACCCTAAACCCTAAACCCTAAACCCTGTAAGCCCTAAGCCCTCAGCCCTGAACCCGAAGCCCTAGTTCAAAGTCAGAAATTTCCACTGATGAACTCGACAACATCCCTGAATCCCCGCCACCCGAACCCTTCGAACTGTTTGGGTTTTGGGCTGAGGGCTCTTGGCTCAGGGCTTAGGGCTTAGGGCTCAGGGCTTGGGGCATAGGCTTAGGGTTCAGGGTTTAGTAAGGTTCATGGTATTTCTAGCTGGGTTTTAAGGAGGGCCACTTGGGCTATAAGTGGTGTTATCACCTTGTGCAGGGTACGTACAAGCCTAACTCTATTTATACCCATGAACCTTCAGTCATAGCGCCAAAAGCCCAAGAAGCGATCGCAGAGAGGACGTTTGCCGGAACAGCCGCCGGACATGTCATTCGGCGATGGCTGGATAACAGTTAAACACTCTAGAAGAGCAAGCGCGCCGTCGAAAACTCAAGGTGGCTTGCGATCAGCAGCGGGGGCGGCAAGGACCTCGTGCAGGTCAGGCGCCTCTCCCGCGGCAGCTCCAGGAAAGCTGTGTTTAATATTGAAATGGCTCTGCCAAAAGCCGCCTCCGCGTGGCCATACGCTCTACGACGATGACTTGAGCCCTGAAGACCCCGCCGTGCCCGCTCATGGCTTTTCGAACAGAATTGTGCATTTTCGCAGAAGCCGATAGCTTGGCGGGCTCCGATTGACTTGTAGCCCAGGCTTCTGATGATAGTGTGGTCCTCTTCGACTGGAAGAGAACCAAGCAGCTGCGCACGACGTATGTGAACGACTGGCAGGAGATGAAGTGTCCGCTGTCGCATGTGTCCGGCTGTCGCATGTGTCCGGCTGTGCCGGCTTGCAGTATCGACTGCAGCTAAAATTTATACAAGCATATGCTACAACTTTCGAGTCTCTGCGATGTATGTGGCTTGTTTGCATCCTGACAATGCAAACATCAAGCCCCAGCCTTCCGAAAAACCCCTAAGCTTGACATCCAAGGCAAGGCCCCGGAACCCCTAAATTACTAAACCCTAAAGCCGAGAAATGCCTGAGACCCCCCCCCCCCCTCTCCCTCGAACTTTCTCTGCAGGTTTGGGACGACTTGGTGGTGTCAGTGCCGGGCCAAGCCTCAAACCCCTAAAGCCCGAACCTGTAAACCCCGAAGCCCTCGACACCCCTAAACCCCAATAAGGGCTTAAGAACCCTCAGCACCGACCCCCAAGCCCCAAGCGCAAAGCCCGTACAACCCCAAAACTCCAAAACCCTGAGACCCCCAAAGCCCAAAAACCCTTAAACCCGAATATCTCCCCACAACCTAAACCCCAAAAAGCCTAAACCCCAAAAACCCCAAAAGCCTAAAACCCTAAACCCGAAAACCCAAACAAAAGCCACACCCTCGTCGGCCTAGCATGAACACGAACATCTAAAGAAGTTGGCTATTCAGGGGGGGCGGGGTCGAGATGCAGGTGTAGGTAGGGTTTGGGGTTTGGGGTTTAGTGTCTAGGGCTTGCGACGTTCATGTTGGGAGATCATCGCCCTTTACCATTTCGCTGAAGATGGAGGAGCTGTGCTTAGAGGTTGCTGAGACGCAAAACCCTAAACCGCCCTAAATCCTATGCCCCAAACAGAGCTTCATCCGTCATTTTTTGTGGGACGGTTTTCAAGGACGCCTCAAGTGGGGCAATGCCCCTAAGCCCTAAGCCCTGAACCCCGAACCCTGAACCCTAAACCCTAAACCCTAAACCCTAAACCCTAAACCCTACACATCTTTTGGGCCTCAGGTTTAGGGTTTGTAGGTCTTCATCCCCCCAAAGTCGCAACGAGGTCAACACCAGCGTGCGGCCCTTTCAGACGCTGCGGCTGCGCAAACATGACGGGGCTTCGGGTTTAGGGTACTAGAGTACTACGCAAGGTTTGGGTTTGAGGGTTTGGGGGTTTAGGGATTAGGGTTTGGGGGCTGGGGTTTGGGAATCAGAGTTTGGGGTGACAGGTTCCCCTAAGATTCTGAACTGCAGAAGAGGTTTTGGGTTTGGGGGTGTGGGGTTTTGGGGTTTTGGGTTGAAGGCATCTGCCAAGCCTGCCCTGCCCATGTGGGAAGATACCTTGAACTGCATAGGGTTAGGTATTTAGTAGGGCTTTGTTGGCTTTAGGGTGGTCCCGGTTCTTAAGGGCTTAAGGGCTCAAGGACATGCAAGGGTGTCTTATAAGGGTTTAAGGGTCTTGAGCTCAGAGGTGTTTTTAAAGAGGTATTCCTCTATGAAAGATTTGGAGACCCCAAACCGGAAACCGAAAGCCTAAGTCCTAAGCCCTAAATACCAAACCCCAAAAGCCAACCCCAAACCCTAAGCCCCAAATCCTAAACCCGGAACCATCAACCCAAAACCCTAAACCCTAAACTCTACACCCAAATCCCCCAAAACCGAAATCCCAAAAGCACTCAACCCGAAATCCCAAACCCTAAACCCAAAACCCCAAGTAAGAGCCCTTGAGCCCAAGTAAGAGCCCTTGAGCCCAAGGATTTACACCAACGGCTCGGGCTTGGTCCAAGCGCACACGCTACCAGCCTGTGTTTGGGGTTTGGGGTTCAGGGTTCAGGGTCTAGGGTTTTAGGGTTTAGGGTTCAGGAAGTGAGAAGTAGGGTTAAGGGTTTCGAGTCTGGGGTTCAGGATTTTGGGGTTTGGGGGTTCAGGATTTGGGGTTTAGGGGTTGTGATTCAGGGTTTAGGGTCTAGGGCTTCGGATTTAGGGTTTAGGCTTTAGGCTTTCGTCAGTGCTGAGGGTTCAGGGTTTAGGTCTTCTTTGTTTTTTGGGGCAGTCCAGGACACCTTTTCGTGGGGTCTTCGGTCCTAGGCCCAAAACCTTCATTCCCATAAAACCTACTTACATCCGCATTCTGCACTAAAACCTAAACCCTAAACCCTAAACCCTAAACCCTAAACCCTTAACCCTTAACCCTTAACCCTTACACCCTAAACCCTAAACCCTCAACCCTAAACCCTAGACCCTAAACCCTAAACCCTCTTTGCGCCTTACGCTTTCAGACCCTGAGCCCACCGCCCTGAAATCTCAAGCTAGGGTTTAGGGTTGAGGTTTAGGGTTTAGGGTTGAGGTTTAGGGTTTAGGGTTCAGGGTTCAGGGTTCAGGGGTTAGGGTTTCGGATTTAGGGTTGGGTTTCGGACGACTATTTTGTGCTTTTTTTTTCGGCTTCGGAGCATGACTTTTAGGGTTCTGAAGGGAGGGCCTTGAACCCTAAATTTAAGAGCCTCCGGCTCAAGCCGCCGACCCCGCAGGAGAACAAGTTTAAGGTTTGGGGTTTGGTGATTTTGTTTGCGGTTCCTGTCGGGGGGTTGGGGGGGTGGGGGGGTGGGGGGGGGGTGGCGGGGGGGGGGGGGGGGTGGCGGGGGTGGGGGGGGTGGGGGTGGGGTGGGTGGGGCCCAGTCAGGGTAGGGGGGGTAGGGGGGTTGGGGGGGGGGGGGGGGAGGGGGGGGTGGGGGGGGGTAGGGGGGGGGTTAGGGGAGGGGGTAGGGGGGGGGGGGTAGGGGGGGAGCGGGGGTGGGGGAGCCAAAAAAGGGTTTTTTCCAAAAGAGCCCCTATGCCTTGTGCGAAAACGCCTATGGTCCATGAGTTTACGCGGTGTGGGTGGCCTGTTCCTCCACGGAAAAGCTGGCGAGCTTTTCACCTCCTTTTCTCCAACACGCCGCCAGGGTCGGCGGACCCTAAGCCCTAAACCCTAAACCCTAAACCCTAAACCCTAAACCCTAAACCCTAAACCCTAAACCCTTAAGAACCCTATGAATGCTTTGCGGACTGCTGTTTTAGGATTCGGGCCTTGAGCCTTGCCTGCGAAGATTTGTGCCCTGCCCATGAAGATTTGTTCCTCTTGCCCACGAAGATCATATGGTTTCGAGAGGATTAGGGTTTAGGATCGTACTTAGCCGGTAGTCGAACTTACGGTTCTAACTACCTTCCTCCGGGTATCGTAGCAGCCCGAAACCCGAAACCCTAAGCCCTAACCCTAAACCCTAAACCCTAAACCCTAAACCCTAAACCCTAAACCCTAAACCCTAAACCCTAAACCCTAAACCCTAAACCCTAAACCCTAAACCCTAAACTCTAAAACCCTAAACCCTAAACCCTAAACCCTAAACTCCAAGTTCCGAGGCTCATCGCGGCCACGGGAGCGAATAGCAAGTGGCTCCACGCATTGGACCCAGATTACACTCTTCCATTTTGCTCCCGATGAAAGTATTACCCACAAACCTGTAAACCCTAAACCCTCAACCCTCAACCCTAAACCCTACAGCCTAACTCCTAACCCCTAGACCCTAAACCCTAAAGCCTAACCCCTAGCCCCCAACCCCTAGACCCTAAACCCTAAACCCTGGTCTACTATGTTGTATCGAGGCCATGGCGGTGGAGATGCTCCCATCCGTCATCGGGAAGCCCTTGTACGGGTTTCCCCAGCCCGTGGATGCGGAACTCGCTGTTTTGTATGTCATGCAGCTCAGCTATCGCCAGGACAAGAATGGGCTGATGTCGACAGCACTGAATCCGCTCATCGAACAGGCATTGCAGGGCTACATGCATGTCTACCACGAGGTGCAGCGAAGAAGACTTTCAAGGAGCTGTCAACACGGGACTACCTGCAGAAGCTTTGCATCAGGCTAGGGTTTTCGGATTGAGGCTTTATCAGGGCGCGCGAGGGGGTGGGTGAGGTTCCTGGACCGTCCCTGGCAGCCATTCTAAGCTTCAGGGGTTTAGGGTGTAGGATTTAGGGTTTAGGGCTTAGGGTTCAGGGTTTAGGGTTCAGGGGCTTAGGGTGTTTGGGGTGGGGTTTCGGGGTTTAAGGTTTCGGGTCCGGGGTATAATTAGACGCCGCACTCATGTGCCCTTGTTGGGCTGGGCTCCTTCATCTAACCCTAAACCCTAAACCCTAAACCCTAAACCCTAACCCTAAACCCTAAACCCTAAACCCCAAACCCTAACCCCTAAACCCTAAACCCGAAACCCCAAACCCCAAACCCGAAACCCCAAACCCTAAACCCTAAACCCTAAAGCCTAAACCCTAAACCCAACTCCAAGCAGGGCGCCCTTACGTGTAGCACGTGGTCTCTGGCCGTGGCGTTGTGCAAGAGCCCGTTAGCACGTGCTCAGTGTGCCGCAAAAACTCGTTGGGTGTAGGGTTTAGGGTTTAGGGTTTAGGGTTTAGGGTTTAGGGTTTAGGGTTTAGGGTTTATTTTTAACGCAAGTCAGCAAAACGGGCGCGTGAGGCTGACACACCCAAAGTACAAGAAGCTGATCCACGGAGGCTAACATCCTCAATCCTAAACGCTACAGTGCCATTCTCTAACCCCTAAATCCCGAAAACCCTAAACCCGAAAACCTAAACCCGAAGACCCGAAACCCGAAGCCTGAAAGTTGAAATAGGATTCACAGAGGACCTGAGCACAACATTGCACCCGTTTTTTCGTACTTAGGCCTGAGAGGTGTTAGGGAGGGTACAAGGGTTTTCGGGTTCCGGGCCGTTGTTAGATGATCGTGTATTCCTTAAGTCCCAAAAGTTGTTTAGAACCAATCAGTAGGAACGTCACGAACCACACAGAAACCCTAAACCCTAAATCCTACATATGCCCTGAAGCCCTCCAAATCCTTAAACTTACCCTAAACCCCAAACCCTAAACCCTAAGCCCTAGCACCCCAAACCCTAAACCCTGGGCACCCTTGTAAACCCCAAACCCCACACCGAAAACTCTAACTGCTTACCCTCCCAAACCTCTTTGTAAGTCCGGTACTCGGAAGCTCTTTTGACTTAGTCAGTCTACTTAGTATCCCATAACAACACCATGGTCTTCCCTAAAACCCACCTTACCAACCCTGCACCCTAAACCCTAAACCGTAAACCCTAAACCCTAAACCCTGAACTCTAAACCCTAGACCCTAAACCCTAAACCCTAAACCCTAAACCCTAAACCCTAAACCCTAAACCCTAGACCCTAGACCCTAGACCCTAGACCCTAGACCCTAAACCCTAAACCCTAAACCCTAAACCCTAAACCCGAAACCTTACTTACTATGTCAGAAGGGGCTTCCAAGTACCGGCCCAGGTCAAAGGCGAATGGGACTACAGAGGCTTCGGTGTCTCCAGCTGTGCCGCGTGCAGCCTGGCAAGGTTTTAGGGTTTAGGGTTTAGGGCTTAGGGCTTAGGGCTTAGGCTTAGGGTTTTCAATGTTTAGAGAGAGAGAGAGAGAGAAAGAGCTTCTTTTGTGACATAGGCTCAGAGCTGAGCGCAGGAGGGTTTAGGGTTTAGGGTTTAGGGTGCGAAAGCTGCGTACAAGCCCCGTGAATTTCTTCGTACTTGCGGAGATGCGGCTTTCTCAAGTTCACCAGCCAACCCTCGCCGATCGTGGTAGCACGTCCTGGCACAGTTGAGCATCTCACCCTAAACTCCTGGTTTAGGGTTTAGGGTTTAGGGGGTTTGGGGCCTGCTTAGCTTTCTTATGCTCAGAGCTGCCCTTCTGCCTTAACTTCTGCACGCCGACAAGAACAACCCCTAAAGCCCCAGCTAAACACTACTCCTTTCTGCCTCAAGGACCTAGACCCCAAACCCCAAACCCCAACCCCCAAGCCCCAAGCGCCAAGCGCCAAACCCCAAACCCCAAACCCCCAAACCCCCAAACCCCAAACCCCAAACCCCAAACCCCAAACCCCGAACCCCAAACCCCAAGCCCCAAGCCCCAGAACCCCAAACCCCAAACCCCCAAACCCTAAACCCTAAACCCTAAACCCTAAACCCCAAGCCCTTGAGTCTTAAAGCGCGCACCCTTGGCTAGACTGGTCTTTGCGTGGCTGAGGCGACGGCTACCTCTTTAAGGGCAAGGCAGGCTTTTGACAAGCCATGGGCTTGGGATTTAGGAGTTTAGGAGGTTAGGAGTTTCAGGGGTTTAGGGTAGTTTAGGGTAGTTTAGGGTAGTTTAGGGTAGTTTAGGGTAGTTTAGGGTAGTTTAGGGTAGTTTAGGGTAGTTTAGGGTAGTTTAGGGTAGTTTAGGGTAGTTTAGGGTAGTTTAGGGTAGTTTAGGGGTTTAGGAGTTTAGGAGGTTAGGAGTTCAGGGGTTTAGGGGTTTAGGGGTCTAGGGGTTTAGGAGTTTAGGGGTTTAGGGGTTTAGGAGGTTAGGAGTTCAGGGGTTTAGGGGTTTAGGGGTCTAGGGGTATAGGAGGTTAGGAGTTCAGGGGTTTAGGGGTTTAGGGGTCCAGGGGTTTAGGGGTTTAGGGGTTTCGGGGTTTAGGGGTCCAGGGGTTTAGGGGTTTAGGGGTTTAGGGGGTCTAGGGGTTTAGGGGTTTAGGGGTTTGGGGGTTTAGGGCTTCGGAGGGTCGAGGGTTCAGGGTCAAAGGTCCCCTAAAACCCTAAGTCGTATGTCCCTAGCTTCCCGAAACCCCAGGACCTAGACCCCCTAACCCTGCACTCTACTTGGAAGACTTCTTGACGCGGTAAGTCGGGTTAGTAAGTCGGGGTTATGGGGACTACAAGAGGTTTTGTGGGGAACGCGAAGTAGACTTACTAGGCCAAAAGAGCTTCCAAGTCCCTAAGTCCCTAAAGTTTTTCTTGGTCTGGGCCTTCCCTAAACCCTGAACCCTAAACCCTAAACCTTAACCCCTAAACCCAAAAACCTAAACCCTAAACCCTAAACCCTGAACCTAAACCCCAAACCCCAAACCCTAAACGCTTCTTGCAGCATTTCTCTGGGAGGCATGCGCGGTTATTGGCGGAGGCGACTCTGCCATGGAAGAGGCCTGACCCATCCCTTATCCTTTGAACCTTACTGGTTGGGATGTTCTCCCTTATACTAACAGTCTTTATCTAGTAGAAGGAAGAACGTTCCAACTTGCAGGGCTTCAGGTTAAGGGTTTAGGGTTCAGGGTGTTGGATATCTTGCTAGGACCTTGGGATACGTCATCTTTCCCCTTCATAGCTACGTTTTGCTTAAGAAGCCCCTGCAAGGCTCTGTGGGCTTAGGGTTTAGGGTTAAGGGTTTAGGGTTTATGGTTTAGGGTAAACCCTGAGCACTAAACTTCAAACTCATCTCATGGTTCCCCAAGATCAACCTAGTAGTCATGCGTATTTCCGCAACTGACTCCAACAAGACCATGTGGGGAGGTACGTGGACCATACACCCATAAACCTGCTAACCCCTCCTTTCTTAAGGACCCTAAAGCCCAGGTTAGGAGCTCTGGGCGTCTAGGTTGAGGGTTTAGGGGGTTTGGGGGTCAGGGATGTAGGGCTGTGGGTTAGGCCTGTTTAGGCGTCCAGGTGTTCACGGGATCATGCGTCTTTACTTAGGGTTTAAGAGGTAAGGCGGGTATAAGGGCCCCATGCTCCAAGCCCTAACTGTCCATGCTCTTGGGCCTATTACGGTTCAGAAACACCCAAAACCCTAAGGCCCTAAGGGGGTTCAGGGTTCAGGGTTAAGGGTTCAGGGTTTAGGGTTTAGGGTTCAGGGCCACCCGAAACCCTAAGCCCCTAGAGGCTTCAGGGGCTGCTTGAGCTCCGCAGGCCCTGATGCTGGCGCGGATCTGCAGCTCCGTCACGCTCATCCACCGGAGGGACACGTTCCGGGCGAGCTTGGTGCTGCAGCAGCGGGTGTTGCTTGGTGGCAACTGAAGCCCAAATTTCCTAGAAGCCTCATAAACCCATAAGCCCTATACACCCTGTAAACCTATCAAACCCTGCAAACCCGATAAATACTAGAACTGCCAGACCCTTCAAAGCCCCATAACCAGCGTAAACGCTATAAACCCTGAGCCTTCAACCCTCCGCCCGTTGGAAATTTGGGATCTGAAGTTTCGGTTTAGGGTTTAGGGCTCAGGGGTTAGGGGTTAGGATTTAGGGTTTAGGTTTAGGGTTTAGGGTTTGTGGCTCTTCGCTGTTGCTGAGCCATATTTCGGCCATCGCCCTGGTTTGCAACAGAGTTTTCGGGCATCTTTGTGCAAACTAACAATCGCACGTCTGGCGTGGGGACTCAAAACCGTTTAGCCGCACACTAAACCCTCAGCCCTAAATCCTGAACCCTCTTCCTGCATTCCCTGTTGAACCCTAAGCCCGAAACTCTAACCCTTAACCCTTAGACTCTAAACCCTGAACTCTAAACCCTAAATCCTAGCTTTTCCTTGGTGGCTAGGCGCCTCACTTCAGGACAGCTTCTTGGGAATGGACCGGGCTCCATACTCGGAGGTTTTATTCGCCCTTGAGGTTCTAGGCACCTAAGTCCTTTGCTGAACCTTAAATTCCCACCCAGGCCTGCTTAGGCCATACCCTCTCTAGGGTGCCTGGACCCAGAACTGCACCTGCCAGCTGTGGACAGCATGGAATCTACTGCCGCGGCGCTGCGAGAAGCCCTAAACCCTAGACCCTAGTCCCTATAGACCCCAAACCCTAAACCCTAAACCCTAAAACCTACACCCTACACCCTAAACCCTAAACCCTAAACCCTAAACCCTAAACCCTAAACCCTAAACCCCAAACCCTAAACCCTAAACCCTAAATTACAACCCTAACCCTAGCCCCCCCCCCCCCCCCCCCCCGAGTCTTTTACAAAAGCCCGAACGCCGTGCGTCGGGCAAGCCGAGGCTGAACCACCCGCACATCTCAGCCACCCGGACCTCGGGTTTAGGGTTTAGGGTTTAGGGTTTAGGGTTTAGGGTTTAGGGTTTAGGGTTTAGGGTTTAGGGTTTCGGGTTTAGGGTTTAGGGTTTAGGGGTTGGGAGGTTTGCGGGCTTGGGGTTCAATGTGGGGGTTAGGGTTTTAGGGCTTTAGGGTTTGAGGGGCCCAACCCTCAATCCAACACCCTCGCCCGAAGCCCTCGAGCAGCGAGTGGGAAGAAGACTTCAAGCATTGAACCTGCGGGCTCACGGGGCCCGAAACCTGTTCATAAACCCTGTAGACCCCCAGCCCTGAACCCTAAACCCTAAAGCCTGCAAACCCCAAGCCCGGTTCGTAAACCCTACACCCGAAACCCCGAATCCTAAACCCCTCGACCCTTAGGCTTCTGAAGCTCAAAAGAATCCGCAGTCCGAATCCCACAGCATCCTTTGTACCCAAAAGCCTCAAGTCCCCGCAGGACCCTACCTAAACCCTAAACCCTAAACCCTAAGCCCTAAGCCCTCCCCTAAGCCCTGAACCCTAAACCCTAAGCCCCAAACCCTAAACCCAAAACCCTAAAACCTAAACCTCAACACAGCCACCCCCCCCCCCCCCCTCCCGCGTCGAGCCGAGGTCCGCTGGCCACTTGCCTGAGCTCTCAAATTTGGGAATATTGGTTCAGGGTTTAGGGTTTAGGGTTTAGGGTTTAGGGTTTAGGGTTTAGGGTCTAGGTTTATGAACTGGGAGGGTAATGGCACATACTAACCAATGATGGCTGGTTCTAAGTACAGTCTTAGTTGGTTCGTAAGTGCCATGAACCTCCAAGCGTGCTCCCTCGGATTCTTCGGGTGTACGTTTAAGGGAGTCAGAGTTTAAGGGTTAAAGGGTTAAAGGGTTAAAGGGTTAAAGGGTTAAAGGGTTTACGGGTTTCAGGATTGAAGGATTTTAAGGGCTTGGTTTGCCAGGATGGCCTGAACCGGGCCCAAGATCTAAACCCTGGACCCTCAACCCTCGAAACTTTAAACCTTATTGGGTTGATGTGGAATTGATGGGCTTCGTTGTATAGGCCCAATCCCATAGAGTCTTTTCTAGGGCCCCAACACACCCCAGCAGGAGGGGTTAGGGCTTAGCTTGAGCTTAGCTCAATCGCAGTGTGGGGCTGAGGGTGTGCGGGCATTTAGGGTTTAGGTTTGAGGGTTCAGGGTTTAGGTGTAGTTGTTGAGGAGGCTTGGGGTTCTCACGGGGCTGGCTGTGTTCGTAGCAGGTGTAAGTGGTGTAGTCATGCGTTTGGGCCAGGTCTGCAATCCACATGGTTTAGGGTTGAAGGTCCCTAGACGCCATACCCTAAAACATACTCAACCCAAAACCCAAAACCCTCACCCTAGATTCACCCTAAACCCTAGCAACCCCCAAGCCCTAACCACTAATGAGCCCTAGTGCATCCTGATCACGAGGAACACAGCAATAAAACGCTTCGTTGGGCAGACAGCCAGCGACGGCGAAGGCCATGCGCCACCAGCTGCGGAAGGTGTTGTGTAGGTGAATGACCGAGGGATAGGGGATAGAGGGAATTTGCTGTCGCATTCAGTGCGGCCTGTACGACGAAGAGCTCCCACAAAAGGTCCGCAGATTAATTAGGGAGTTTTGTTTATGAGTATTATCGATATGATTATGGCAGGCCAGTTTTTTTTTGCAAGGCCCATGTACATGAATCATTATTCATATTACGATTACTATTTCTATGACTATGACAATTCTTATTCTTTTTGCGCATTGGTAGTATTAACGCGTGCCCAAAAACTAATGATAAGGCACGCAGACTCAGTGTTATTCTAGCGGGCCACACTTACAGTTCTTTCATTGGGCCGCATCTAGTGTCGCGATCTCCATGCTGTCTACACATGTCGTCTTTTCATTTTCATTTTCATTTTCATTTTCATGTTCATTTTCATGTTCATGTTCGTGTTCATTTTCATGTTCATTTTCATGTTTCATTTTCATTTCCCTTAGACTCCATTCCATTCATTCATCTCATGCACTTCGTTTATCAACTAGTTCGTTCACTCGCTACATAAGAATACTCTAAAAGGGCCCCGCAATGCAACTAAGATCTTTTTGTGGCGTTCATTTTTTTCTTTTCTCGCCCTAGGAGCTGTTTGGCTGACCCAAGAGCCTGAGGGTTTAAACCCGAAACTCGAAACCCTGAACCCGAAACCCTAAACCCTAAACCCGAAACCCTCGCCCTAAACCCTGAACACCCAAAGATTACAGAAGCCCTGCGACAGGGGACGAGCGCAAGGAGCCTTGGATCAAGTGCATAGTGGGGTTTAGGGTTCAGGGTTCAGGGTTTGGGGTTTGGGGTCTGGTGCCTCAATCCTCAACTCTGTCAGCCCCCTAAACCCTCAGTACAAACCCTAAACCTCTAGAAATCCCCTAGGTTAAGCCTAAACTGAAATTCCCGAAATCCCGAAGCACACAAATCCTGAAAACACAAAAGCAACTAAACCCTAAACCCTAAACCCTAAGCCCTAAACCCTAAACCCGAAACCCGAAACCCCAAACCCCAAACCCCAAACCCTACATACTAAGTCAAACAGGGCTTTCCAAGCCCTAAACCCTAAACCCTAAACCCTAAACCCTAAACCCTAAACCCTAAACCCTAAGCCCTAAACCCTAAACCCCAAACCCTAAACCCTAAATCCTAAATCCTAAACCCGCCTAAGGAGCTGACCCACCTCGAGTTGGTGGACACTCAGGCCCGCCCACTCCCGAAGAGTACCTGGCTTTTTTGGGGGGGGAGGGGTTGGGGTTTAGGGTTTAGGGTTTAGGGTTGAGGGTTTAGGGTTTAGGGTTTAGGGTTTAGGGTTTAGGGTTTGGGGTTCAGGGTCGCTCAGCTTAAGCAAGGACCCCCTTCACCCGAAGCCCCCCTCTGTCACGAACGCCTGAAGCCGGACCTTCACGCCACGACCTTTTCTTACACTCAACCCTGAGCCCAAGAACCCTTAAGCCATAAACCCTAGACCCCACACACCCTAACCAATAAACCCCACACCCTTAAGCCCTTAAGCCCTTAAACCCAAAAAGCCCATAAACCCTTAAACCCAAAAACCCTTAAACCTTAAACCCCTTAAACCCTTAAACCCTCAACCCCCATGCCCCCCCCCCCCCCCCCCCACCGAAGATAGGGTTCTTCAAAACACACACCCTCATCCCAAACTCTACACCCCAAACCCTAGTTGTATGCTCAAACCCTAAACCCTAAACCCTGAACCCTAAACCCTAAACCCTAAACCCTAAACCCTAAACCCTAAACCCTAAACCCTAAACCCTAAACCCTAAGCCCTAAGCCCTAAACCCATGCTCATGGACGACTCCTGACGCAGGACAGCTCCGTTGAGTCCCAGCTACCGGTCGACGCGGCCTTTATCGCCATCGGCCACGATCCCAACACCCGGCTCTTCAAGGGGCAGGCGCGTGTCAAGGTTAGAGGGCTTAGGGTTCGGGATGGAAGGTTTAGGGTTTGAGGGTTTTTGGGGCTTTAACAATTTGGGGCCTTGGGGCCTTCAGGGTTCGTTTTGATAATTTCATTTTTTTTGTGGCGGGGGGGGGGGGGGGGGGGGGGGGGGGGGAGGATGTAGGGTTTAAGGGCTTTCAGGGTTTTTCGTTTTTTTTTTTTTTTTTTTTTTTTTTTTTTTTTTTACGACTTTCAGGGTTTTAGCGTTAAAGGGCCTGCTTTCATTACGTTAATATTAACATTCTGGTGAGTTTACGAAGAGTTTACGAAGAGAGAAAATATGGAGAGAACAGCGTGCATTAGAAAAACACATTGCGCACGCCAATTATAATGTGAGGTGAACGTACGTATGAGCGGACAAAAGGAAAAAACGCCCGTTCAATCGGTCGCTCTTTCAGATCGTAAATTGGGGTTTACGCGCTTTAGGGCTTTGGAGTATCAGGCCTTTGGGGTTTTACTGTTTCGGGTGTGGGTCTGAGGGTTCAGAGAGAAGGTGAAAAGGTTTCGGGGACTCCCCGGGCTCCCTAACCGTCCTAACCTTCCCCAAGGTTCTCTAGGTACCTAAACCCAAAACCCTCGATCCTCAACCCTAAACCCTAAAAGATCCCCATGAACCTCACTCTTTAAGGGCCCTGTAGGGGATTTAGGGTTTAGGGTTTAGGGTTTAGGGTTTAGGGTTTAGGGTTTAGGGTTTAGGGTTTAGGGTTTAGAGTATATCAGGTGGACATGGATGAGCTCCTCGGCTTTGTTTTGAGTTCAGGGTTGAGGGTTGAGGGTTTAGGTTGTAGGGATTAGGGCTTAAGGGCTTTAGGGTCTAGGGTTTGGGGCTTTAGGGGTTTAGGGTTTAGGGTTTAGGGGTAGGGTTTATCCTGCTGGCGGGTAAGTACCCTGTACCATCAATACCCAATACCTTGGCCCTGGGCACCCTGCGCGAAGCCCTAACACAAAAAACCAAACCCCAACCCCCAACCCCCAACCCCCAACCCCCAACCCCCAACCCCCAACCCCCAACCCCCAACCCCCAACCCCCAAACCCCAAACCCCAAACCCCAAACCCCAAACCCCAAACCCCAACCCCCAACCCCCAACCCCCAAACCCCAACCCCCAAACCCCAAACCCCAAACCCCTGAAACCCCAAACCGCACCCCACCCCCCCAAAAAACCCTCAACCCTAAACCCCAAACCAATCTAATTCCCAACCGAAGCACCCCAAGCCTATTGGCACTCTCCGCTTCGAGCCTGGCCTTTGGCCTTAGGGTTAAGGAGGTTTAGGGGGTTTAGGGAGTTTAGGGAGTTTAGGGGGTTTAGGGGGTTTAGGGGGTTTAGGGGGTTTAGGGGGTTTAGGGGGTTTAGGGGGTTTAGGGGGTTTAGGGAGTTCAGGGAGTTTAGGGGGTTTAGGGGGTTGAGGGGGTTTAGGGGGTTTAGGGGGCTCAGGGGGTTTAGGGGGTTTAGGGGGTTTAGGGGGTTTAGGGGCTCTAGGGGCTTTAGGGGCTTTAGGGGCTTTAGGGGCTTTAGGGGCTTTAGGGGCTTTAGGGGGTTTAGGGGGTTTAGGGGCTTTAGGGGGTTTAGGGGGTTTAGGGGGTTTAGGGGGTTTAGGGTTTACGGTTTGGGGCTTAGGGTTTGGGGTTCAGGGTTTAGGGTTTAGGATTATGTAACCCAAGATACGACAGTCCTGATTTTGGGGACCCCAGGCAGGTACCCCTATTTTTCGGAAACTCCCACGTGAGAAGATCTGTCGCTGGTCTGAGAAGGGAGACGGGTTTAGGGTTTAGGGTTTAGGGTTTAGGGTTTAGGGTTTAGGGTTTAGGGTTCAGGGTTTAGGGCTTAGGTTTTTAGGGTTTAAGGTTAGGCCCTATGATGGAACCCTAATGCCCTTTTTGGCTTGGTCGCCTTTTGTTATACCCTTTTTCCTGGGTCGCCTTTGTTTAATTATTTTTTTTGGTTTGGTCGCCTTTTTAATTTCTTTTTTTGTTTGGTCGCCCTTTTCATTCCCTTTTTGTTGGGTCGTCTTTTTGCTCTTTGCACTCCTCCAAGATGCCCGCTTTCCGGATGCCCTCCTCCCAGATGCCCTCTTTCCAGATTCTCTCTCCAGATACTTTCCTCCCAGATGCCTTCTCACTTATCCCCTTTTCAGATGCCCTCTTTCCAGATGTTTGCTTCCCAGTTGCCCTCCTCCCAGATGCCCTCTTTTCAGACGCCCTCCTAGCCAGACGCCTTCCCACATGCCCTTTTTTCAGATCTTTTCACCCCTCCCCCTCTTTCCGGTTCCCCATTGCTCCCCTACTCCCAGCCTCTTCCCCAGCCCCCTACTCCCCCACTCCCCCATTCCCCCCCCCCCCGCCCTCCCCCCACCCCACTCCCACTCCTCCCCCCCGCCCTCACTCCCCCATTCTTTCCGCTTTTCCCGTTGGGGTTGGCTGCATTTTAGGACTTTTAGAGTGAGGTTTAAGTGGATTGAACCTACGGATACAAAAGAGGTTTAAGTAAATTGAAACAAAAGAAATGGAGTAAGAGTTCGAGACAAAACCAAAAAAAAACACCAACTTCACTGGCGCAGTTGGCGCAGCTCTAAAATGTAGGGTTTAGGGTTTAGGGTTAGGGTTCACTTGGAAGCAGTTTTGACTTAGTACGTCTACTTAGTCCCTAGAAACCCCCCCCTCTTATGACCGCCCCCCCATAACCCACTTCGCTAACCCTACTTACTAAGTCAAAAGGGCTTCCGGTGCGGTTTAGGTTTGGGGCTTTGGGGCTGGGGATTGGGGTTACATAGGCTTTATAGGGTTTAGGGTTTAGGGTTTAGGGTTTAGGGTTTAGGCATGTGGGTCTCCTCCTTTTGGGGGAGTAGGGTTTAGGGTTTAGGGCGGGCAGGGAAGACTCTGCGAAGTCGTCATCATCATCAAAGGCCCCTAAGCCCCAACCCGTAAACCGCTGAATCCTAAACCCTGAACCCCCGAACCCTAGCCCTCAACCCCTGAAACCCGGCCTCAGGGCCTTGGCAGATGCCCAGCCTTCCAGCTTAGGGATCTTCGAGAATATGTTTTTGGATTTTGGGGTACTAGAATTCCCAAGAAGCAGCCAAAAATAGATCAGAGAAAACCAGGACCGGCTACATCCACGTGAACGGACCAACGAAGACATCGGCTCCTCGGACCCGCTTGATTCCTCGACACTTCACCCCCGCAGGGTTTAGGGTTTAGGGTTTAGGGTTTAGGGTTTAGGGTTTAGGGTTTAGGGTTTAGGGTTTAGGCCCCCCCCCCCCTCCCCGCCCTCTGATGCTGTTCAGAAGAAGAGGGTTGGGGCTAAACCCCAAACCCCAAAAGCCTTCAAACCCTAAGTCCCGAAAACCCTGAAACCCTGAAGCCCTGAAACCCTGAAACCCCCTGAAGCCCTAAAACCCTACAACCCCCCTGAAGCCCTAAAACCCTAAAACCCCTCAAACCCTAAACCCAAAAGCCCCGAGGCCCTAAAACCCTAAAACACTTGAAGTACTAACACCCTAAACCCCCCGGAACCCCTAAAACCCTGAACCCCTGACACCCTAAAACCAAGAGGGGGGGTGCCTTTCCTAGGACCCAGAGTAGGCCCTTATTCCCCTCTTTTTGAGGTTGAGGTTCCCTTGTAACCCAACTTAAACCAAAAAAAGAACATCCTTTTTCATTTCTGGGTTACTCCTGGGTCCAGTTTCTTCTCCCAGCAGCAGGGTCAAGTCGCAAAGCTGCGACATGGCTACCACATTGCCGATTTTCATACAACTGCGCCAAGTTCCACGGTGTGCAGTGGCACCCCGAGGGCAGCCTCTTCGGTTTGAGCCCTACTGGGGGAACCTCTGTTTCGGGGGCGACGGTGGCCTCGACATCGTCGACACCATGCGAGTTGCCATCGTGGCTTGCTCCGTCGGCTACTTCGCCGCTGCCAGCATGGGAAAGCTGGGCATGCTCAGGAGTGCCTGGTTCTGAGTGGGTTCTTAGTAGGGAATGAGGGAAGAGTACCCCAGATAATCCCTTAAAGGGTATGTTTTGGGGCCCTAATTCCCCATTCCATACTAAGAACCAGGGGCCGGATCTAGGGTGTCAGGTTGTGGGTGTTCATCTGGGACTCGCTGTGCCCTAAGCCCTAAACCTTAAACCCGGGACCCTAGACCCCAAACCCTAAACCCTGGACCCTAAACCCTAGACCCTCGACCCTCAACCCTAAGCCCTCAACCCGAAGGATCCCCTTTCGGCCTAATGTCGGGTTCGGGTTTGGGGTTAAGGGGTTAATTAGGGGTTTAGGGTTAGGGGTTTAGGGCTGAGGGGTTTCGTGCGTAAGGCTTCGGGCCCTTAATTTTACCACCCCTTTCTTTCGGGCGACCCCCATGCTCGAGGTACCTGGTTTCTTCGCCGCGGGGGACGTAGCAGACAACGTGTATCGGCAGGCCCTGTGGGTCCAAAGGGTTGAGGGTTTAGGGTTTAGGGATTAGGGCTTTGGGGTTTAGGGTTTAGGGTTTAGGGTTTAGGGTTTAGGGTTTAGGGCAACTCCTGGGGTCCCCCGCATTTGAGGTGCTTAGGGCTTCTCTGCTTAGAAGCCGTTTTGATCTACAGTAGTAAGTCTACTGAGTATCCCTAGAAGCCCTCTTATCATCCCCATAACCCACCTTACTAACCCTACTTGCTGCGTCAGAAAGGCTTCCAAGTTATTTAGTGCCTTTTTACCTAAGCAGGCCCCAAATTACCCCTAAATAACCCCTAAGGTCCCTTATAGGGGTCCCTCCTTTCGTCCCTTGACCGCCGCTTTGTCAATGTTCTCGGCGAAGCAGTTTTCAGAGACTTTCCTCGAGAGTTTGTTTCTCGAGTTTCGCGCGAAACCTGGAACACTGCTGCGTGCGGCTCTGGCAGTAGGTTTTTGGGGCTTAGGGGTTTAGGGTTTGGGGTTTAGGGCTAGAATGTGGTTGCTGGGCTGCTGAGTCTCGTAGTCCAGCCTTGTGCAACTCTGTGAAACCCAAGAAATTCGAGAAACCCTAAACCCTAGCCCGAAACTCTAAACCCTAAACCCTAAACCCTAAACCCTAAACCCTAAGCCCTAAACCCTAAACCCTAAACCCTAAACCCTAAACCCTAAACCGTGAACTCCAACTTTCGAAGCAACACAGCTTAGGGTTGGGCTCATGACCTCTTGGGCTGAGGCCGACTCGCAGAGCTCCCAAAACCTGCCATTTTAG